GGAATATTTGTATAATGATGCAAAGATACATTGTGTTCTTTTATGTTGCATTTGTTTAACTCTGTGAAGCTGTGTTACTTTGCCTGTCTAAAACACTTTATTGGTCTAATAAAGAGCTGAATGGCCAATAGTGAGGCAGGAGAAAGGATAGGCGGGGCTGGAAGGCAGAGAGAATAAATAGGAGGAGAAATGTGGGAGGAGAGAAGAAAGAGAAAGAGACCAAGGAGCCAGAAAAGAAGGGGCCAGCCATAAGTCAGCCACCCAGAAAGAGTGAAAGAAAGATTTACAGAAGAAAAGGAAAAAGCCCAGAGGCAAAAGGTAGATGGGATAATTTAAGGAAAACTGGCTAGCAACAAGCTAAGCTAAGGCTGGGCATTTATAAGTAATAATAAGCCTCTGTGTGTGTAATTTATTTGGGAGCTTGGTGGTGGACCCCCAAAAGAGCAAAGAATAAAGAGCAAAAACAACATTTTGGCGATCCACCGTGGGCCCATAGAAAGCTAAACAACACATACTCTTCACTGCTGAGCCGTCTTTGCAGCCCCTGAATTTTTCATTGGTGTTTTATACAAGCTAGATTAGGGGATCATGGTAGCATAGAAGAAGCAGCAGATGGAAGGGACTATTTGAGTTCAGGAACAAAGGCAATGAGTGAATGATATGTCAACAAGATAGCCAGGCTACACAGTAAGGCCCCATCTCAAAAATCCAAATGAAGGTACTAGCTAGCCATAATAACAGCAGCAACAGAGTAGAGTGGGAAGATGGAGAATGGAAAGCAAACATCTGCTCTGGGAGCTCTGGGACCACTGTGTTCAGGTTACACAGCTCTGGAGGCACAGAAGTGGCAACATTGAGTGTCATAGAGCCATTCAGTCATCCAGTGGGAGATTTAGGACCTTTTTGGTAGAATAGGCACCTAATTAACCTCATCAAAGGGTAGGCAACATGGTGGTTCATGTTACTTAAATACAAGTTCACTGGCTTTGTGGACTGTTGATTTCAGGTGCTCAGGTAGGGCTATTGGAAAGATTTCTCTTTGCTATTGTTGTTTTGTGTTTTAGTGATAAGTTCTCTCCATAACCTAGGCTGACCTCAAACTAACAATCCTCCTGCCTCCTTCCCAGAGTGTTGAAATTACAGACATATTCTGTCATGCCCGGCAGAACTTTTCTCTTGATCTGTTTGTATCTGTTATTATATTATGACTGCTTTGTTCTGTGTTGAAAGGTTTTCCTTGGGCATGCAGTCTTTATCAATGCAAGAATGGCCAGTAGCTAGTTTGTTTTGTTTGTTTGAGTTGGGATCTTGTGATGTAGCCCATGATTGCCACAGTACTCTGGTGCTGATGATTGTAGGCATCCTCATACTTATCTGAGACATATAATATAAAGTCTAGTAACTTATAGAAAAAGCTTCACAATTGCCGTGTCTAAAGTACATGCTCGTTCATGAACCAAACTTAGAGCCTGAGGAAATAAATAGCATGTTATCATTGGTAAGCCTGGGTCACATGTTGGGGCTTAGCCCAATCACATATGAACTGCTTGAATTGATATGGGAAAATGGATGGTTTTCCCAAGGGAAGTCAGTGCAGAGAAGAGGTGGATGAAGTTAGATTAAGCAGGAATTTCAACATCAACCATATAGAGATCACATGATCACTCACTTGTTTAAAACCCTTCTTTTACAAGTGAGAAAAATGAGATTCCAGATAGGTGAATGACTTTGAGAGTGGATCATTTAACACGTGTGAAAATGTTTGTTTGGTACGACGTTAGGCCTGGACTAGAAACTCACTTGAACTCATTGTCCTTTTTCTATGTAGTTCCCACCTCTGGGGACGGTCCTTACTCCCCATCTCTATGGCCTAGGCCCCTGCAGAGCCTGAGTCCTGGCATCTTTCCTTCTCAGGCCACTCCCGGGTCTTGAAGTCATCAACCTTCAGTGGCTGTGTTAGTTTGTGGACCTGTATAGCTACGTGGACGATGTGGTTGAAACTTTTATCTATCCTGGAGCCTGGAAATACAACATCAAGGTGCATTGTCCTCCTGAGGCATCCTTGATGTGCAGATGGTGACAGTCTCCCTGCATCTTCATAGGCCTATGTCCCCATTTTCAGTCATAGTGGATTAGGGGCTGCTCTCTAGACCCTTGCATGTACTAGGGAAGTGTTTTGCCTCTGACCTCCATCCCCAGTTCTTAATTCCATCTTTAGAAACCCATTCCCTAAACAGACTCACAGAATACGTGGGATTGAAAAGTCAACTGAGGGGGCAGGTGTGAATTTGAGGAGAATACAATTTGTTCTGTGGCAGTTGGATCGCAAAGAACACCTAAGCCTCGGAGATTTTGGTTGGGTATACTCCCCGCTTGGGACACCTTCTGAGATATCAAAACCCATTCAAAGTAGGCATGGTGATGCATTCTGTAATCCTAGCACTTGGAGGGTAGAGGCAGAAGGATCATGAGCTCAAGGTCATCCTTAGCTACAAAGCATGTTTTACCCCAGTGCGGTGGTATGAAAGACTCCACCCTACCTCCCCCCAGAAGACTGGGATGTGGGTCAATTGGTAGCGTACTTGCCTGGCATACAAAAAAAATTGAGCATGTAGTACATACCTGTATTCTTTTTATTAAGAAATTTTTTAGCCGGGCAGTGGTGGTGCACTCCTTTAATCCTAGCACTCGGGAGACAGAACCAGGTGGATCTCTGTGAGTTGGAGGCCAGCGTAGTCTACAGAGCAAGATCCAGGACAGGCACCAAAACTACACAGGGAAACCCTGTCTCGGAAAAAAAAATTTTTTTTAATTCATTTTACATATCAATCACAGATCCCCTTCTTCCTTCTTCCCACCCCTTCAGCCATTCCCCCCCAAACCACCTCCCATTCCCTCCTACTCTTATCACTTGGGAGGTAGAGGCAAGAGGTTCAGAAGTTCAAGGTCATCTTTAGCTACATATGGATTTTGAGAGTAGTCTGGCATACATGAGACCCCAAAACAAACAAACAAACAAACAAACAAACAAAAAAACAATACAAAACAAAACAAAAAACTAGACAAGAATAGGATCTCTCTCTCTCTCTCTCTCTCTCTCTCTCTCTCTCTCTCTCTCTCTCTCTCTCCCCACACCCGGCTTTCTCCCTCTCTCTCATCTACACACACTGGGCACATACTTTTCCACTGAGCACCACACCTCCAGCCCTTCAGTCTCCTTCATTAGAACTGTCCCTGTGAGGGATCCACTCTGCTGGGTTTCTGCTTGGCATACCCACCCCTAAATCTCAACATGGCCAGGGATAAAAGTCTATCTAAACTCTCCACTTTACTGGTGGGGGGTGGGGGAGCCCTTAAATCACTTGTCAGAATCATGCAATCCTTTATGAGGCTTTCCATTTCCCAAGACTGTTCAGCACTGTTCAGAATATGCATCATGAAACACAGAAATCAGGTAAGAGGATGGTAGAAGGCGACCTTGTGGGTCACCCATTCATTTCCTTCATTTGAGAAATAAAAAGGAAATGCAAGGATGATTTTTAAAAAAAATATTGTAAGCGGCAGAAACCTTAAAGAAAAGGCAGGTCCATAGTTCCTTTGTGAAATCATGAAAAAGGAGGGGGAACTCCCACCAAGCCCTTTCCACTAATTTACCAGCCTGGAAGTGAGTTGTATTTTCTTTGCCCAACAGCTTTAATCGATTTCTCCTTGACTTTTCATTTATCCATCTTTAGCTGGAGGCAGCCTGATGAACTCAGGGACAACGACAGGCCTCGGATCTCATTTTCGAGACTTGTTAGCCGTACAGGTTTAGACAAGTCATTTAATTGAAGGACCTCTGTACCAGGCTTTTTCTTTTAAGCCACCAACCAGCTCCCAAATCATGACACAGAGACTTATTAGTTTTGAATGCTTGGCCTACCTTAGGCACATTTCTGGCTAGTTCTTTTAACTTAATCTGTTTCTCTTTATCTACATTTTGCCTTATTACCTTTCTTAGTGTATATCTTACTTTCCCAGCTTCTCTATGTCTGCTGGCTGGCATTTGCCTGGCTTCTGCCCCCAAGCATCTCCCTCGTTCTCTCTTCCTTCTTTTCTTATTCTTCCCATTCTTTTTTTCAAGCCTAGATTTCTCCTCCTATTTATTCTCTCTCCCTGCCAGCCCCGCCTATCATTTTCTGTATCTAGCTATTGGCCATTCAGCTCTTTATTAGACCACTCAGGTGCCTTAGGCAGGCAAGGTGAAGCAAATGCAGCACGTCTTTACATAATTAACAAATGCAGCCTAAACAAAAGTAATGCACCTGTACACAGTTAAAGTAATATTCCGCAGCACAAACAAATGTAACACATCTTTGCTTAGTTAAAATACTATTCTGCAACAAATCTCAGTCTCCACTGTTGAAGAACGAGGGAAGTACTAACTGCTGGTGGATTGTTGTGAGCATTGTGTGAGCTAATCACTCACTATAAAGTGCTCAGATCAACTTGTGGAAGGCAGTAAACCTTGCACCAAGATTAGCTCCAGTAAACTAGGTGTGGTGGCACATGACTGGAGTCCGAGGTGGGGGCATGAAAATCAGGAATCCAAGGTCATCTTTGGCTGCAAATCAAGTTTGTGACCAGTCTGGGTCCCATGAGACCCTGTCTCAAAAACCAACCAACCCACAAACAAAAACATAGCTATAGTCCCTACTGGAGGAAAAAAAAAAATGCCCCCAAAGGCAAGCTTGTTTGGCTGTGTTTTCTGATGCATGCCTCTAGTGCCTAGAAGTCCCTGATGGGCATGCCTGGGTCTTTGTCATATGAATGAATGAATGAATGCACATAGGTCATATGAATGTGTGGATGCAAATACTGGAGGATTGTGAGTGACCTGTGATGAAGAGAGGGTTTTGACTAGATGGAGGTCTCCAACGTATTTGGTTACTTCCCCGTGGGATTGGTTTAGGAATTCCCCTTGCCAGCAACCTTCCTCACATTCTTGTTCATTTTTTTAGGCTGAGGCTCCATGAAGAAAAGGTTATTAAAGATAGACGACATCATCTCAAAACCTACCCAAACTGCTTTGTCGCGAAAGAACTCATTGACTGGTTGATTGAACACAAGGAGGCCTCTGACCGAGAGACGGCAATAAAACTCATGCAGAAACTAGCCGACCGGGGCATCATTCATCATGGTGAGTGAGGCGGCTCAGGCAAGGTGTCTGGAGAGGCCATGAAGACCACATCGATTGCGTAGATGTACCCATTATGAAATAAGAGGAAGGAGTGATGGCACATGCAGAGGCAGGGGGATCAGAAGTTCGAGGCCATTCTTGGCTAAATAATGTGTTTGAGGCCAGTCTGGGCTATGTGAGACCCTGTGTCCACAAAAATCAAATGTTAATTAGTAAACAAATAAACAGTTTTACTTTAAATTATCTCTTCAGTACCTCTTCCCAAGGACTCCTGCCTCCAAGAGATACTCTGTTTATTTTCATGCTTTCCTAGACAGTGTGCCATATTTGAGCCTTCAAAATGATGCATGTTTACTCTTTGCAACTTGATCAGCATGCTGTGTGTCAAATTCACCAGTGTTGACAGTCCACGTCTCTGAAATTATTGTTTTTTTAGGTTAGCAGACAAACCAAGGTTCCCATGTGGTATCTTCATAAATGTGTGTCTTTGTATTTTGTTATCTTTCGGGCCTCTCTCCACTGTTCATACCTGTCCCCACTCCACCCCCACCTGATTTTCTCTCTCTCTGAGTTATCTCTCCATCTGCCTTCTTAGCACTTGTATTGGTGATCCTCTCTGTTTTCCAACTCCCTTATGATCTCTTCCCTGATCTCAAGGTCCATATCTCTGGCTGTTCATTTTGCTGTTGTATGCATGGTATGCTATGTATACTGTTGGATGTACAGTGTGCCATGGATAGGTCATTGTAGTTTTAGCTGTTCAGTTAAGGGACATTCGGGTTGTTTATAAGTTTTGGCTGTTACTCTGTCTTAGTTACTGTTCTCTTGCTAGGAGACACCATGACCAAGGCAACTTTTTTTTTTTTTTTTTTTTTTTTTTTTTTTTTGAGGCAAGGTTTCTCTGTGTAGTTTTGGTGCCTGTCCTGGATCTCGCTCTGTAGATCAGGCTGGCCTCGAACTCACAGAGATCCACCTGGCTCTGCCTCCCAAGTGCCGGGATTAAAGGCATGTGCCACCACCCGCCTGGCTACCAAGGCAACTTTTATAAAGGAAAGAATTTAAATGGGACTTGCTTACAGTTTTAGAGGGTTTGTCTATGATTGTCATGGCTAGACAGAGCTGGTGCTGGAGTAGTAGCTAAGTACTTTATATTCTGATCAGCAGGTAGAAAGCAGAAAGAGAGACACTGGGCCTGGATTGGGCTTTTGAAACCTCAGAGGCCACCCCCAGTGGCACATCTCCTGCAAGGACCCACTTCCCAGTCTTTCCTAAATAGTTCAACAACTGGGGACTAAGCGTGCAGATATATGAGCCTATGGGGGCCATTACCATTCAAACCGTCACCCTCTCAATGGTTCAATGAACATTCATGAACATGTGCATGTCGGCTAGTTTTCTGTTGACTTGACACAAGCTAGAGTCACTTAGGGAGGGGGAACCTCAATTAAGAAACTGCTTCCATATCGCCCTGTGGGCAAGCCTGTGGTGCATTTTTTAAGTTGAAAGTTGATGGGGGGGGGGGGCCCAGCTCACTATGGGCAGTGCCACATCTGGATAGTGGTCTTGGGTGGTATCAGAAGGTAGGCTGAGCAAACCATGCAGGGACACCCAGTAAGCAGCATTCTTCAATGACTTCTGCTTCAGTTCCTGTGCAGATTTCCCTCGGTGAGGGACTGTTAGCTGGACGTGTAAGATATAATAAACCGCTTCCTCCCCAAGTTGCTTTTGGTCATGGTGTTTTATTACAGCAGTAGAAACCCTAGGACAGTATGTCCTTGAAGTCTCAGCCTGGCCTAGACACTTGCACAATGTTGTTCCTCTAAGCTAAGATAAAAATTCTCCTTATTTTTGTTTGCTCACTCTTAGGGTTCTACTTACAGATAGTTCAGGGCAGCTTGGATTTCCCAAAGCTGGGGTCTCAAGGACTCCTCCATCACATTCCCACTGCAGTTTTCCCTAACCTGTCCCTAACATCCTTTAACCTAACAAATCCCCAGCATCCTTTAGTTATATGCTGATGTTTCTCTTTGTATCACTTTTGGTATTCTGACAAAAGGGTCATCCCCTGTAGCCTCAGATGGCCTCAAACCAGTGATTCTCTGTCTCAGCCTCCTGAGTACAGGGCTTGGAGGTGTATGCCACCTCGTCTAGCTTTGATTTACTTTCTTTGAGGCTCATGTTGTTTTAGTGTTCATGCTTCTGAAGACTCTGGGATAAGTGATGAAGTGAACTTTGTGAGCCTTTCCATACATGATGATGATGATAACGGCGGTGATGCTCACAGCGCTGAGCGAGAGCACTCAGTAAATAGCACTCACTCTACCCTACAGTTGATACCTGTGTGAGCAAGAATTAAGCGGTGAGATGGATTTGAATCTTCTGTCTCTCATTTCCCCCCGTGTGTATTGTGTTTCAGTGTGTGATGAGCACAAGGAATTCAAGGATGTAAAACTCTTCTACCGCTTCAGAAAGGATGACGGTACCTTCCCGCTGGACAACGAAGTGAAGGCCTTCATGAGAGGACAGAGGCTGTATGAAAAGTAGGTCCACTGTCATCTTATCTTGACTTGGAAAAAAAGGAAGTGGGCTCTATCTTTCCGTTGCTGGCTTGTTAATTTATTTATTCATTTTGAAAAAGGATCTTACGTTGAATCCAAGCCCTCGATAGCCAAAGGATGACCTTGGATTTCTGACCCTTCTGCCTCTACCTGCTGGGATTACAACTGTGTGCCACTGTTCCTTGTTGTATATGGTGCTGAGAATAGAACACGGGGCAAGTGCTGTATCACCTGAGCTTCCACAGCAGCTCACCTGTCTGTCTTTTACCATGTCAACTCCAGTGGGGCTCTTCCATGTGGGCTGCTTACATAACTGCTCCTTTTAATAGGAGAAAACTCTGTCATATAGTTAGTTACCTTTCTCTTCGCCAGAAGTCAAAGTTGGTTTCATAAGCGTCTTAATTCTTTATCAAAATTGTATTTCTGGTACTTACGACCATTGCACAAAACTCCAGAAGTGAGAACAGAAGGGTGCTCTTTGACGTTTGCCGTCAAGTGACGCCCATCGCCTTTTCCTTATTTGATTAGGTGTGACGGTTGCTGAATCTCAGGATTCAGTCTTGTACATGCTGTGCATGGGGGAAGGCTGGGGTCATGTCAGGTGATCAGTACTGGGAGTGAGCAAGCGAGTGAGTGCTTCATGGAGCAGGATCTGCGAGGACCGTCTCTCAGCCTTCTGGAAGCTGAAACATGCCATCCATAGCACAGGAGTAGTCAGCTGACAAGTCTGGAACCTCCCAGGAGGTGTGTCTCAGCGCTAGTCTCCTTTCTCTGGCCTCTCGCTCTTCTAACCATCCTTATTTTTATCCAGGGCAACATTTTTAGAAAGGATCTCGGAGACAATGCCATTCGTTAATCCTGGCTGCCTTGCAGGGCTTTGAACATTCTGAAAACACATATTTGTCACATAAAAGACGCACAAGTGTCACCTGCTATACAGTGGGTGGCAGGGGGTGGGTGTAGGGGCTACAGTGAGGGTTTAAGAAGCTAGACAAAGGATCAAGAGGATTAAGAGCTAAGATTCAATGTTAGTCGTGAACACAGGGCTTGCACATGCTTCGTGGACTCCAGCACTGACCTCCCTGCCAGCTACATTTGCATCTCTTCCAGCCTGGCCCACCTGTGCCTAGCCAATTATATGGTGAACATTTGCTGAAAATTATAAATAGAGGCCAGGGATGTGTCTCAGATGCACACAGTTGCCTAACATGTGGAAGACCCAGGAGGAGGTAGAGAGGGACCGTGACTTTGGTCTTTTTGTTTGTTTGGTTGGTTTTGTTTTGTTTTTCTCGTGTGTGAGTTGACCAATATTCCAGGGTTCTCTGTGCCTGCCGTTTACTTTCTCGTCACTAATACTCAGTGTCTCAAGTTACAAGTGAAGTTATTTCTCCAGATTGCTTGTGAAATCAGGATGAGGACAAAGATATTTAATATGTATTTGACCCTGAGTGGCCCAGCTGCGGCCTCACAGACCTTGGCCTCGGCTTCGGGTTGCTGGATCATGTTTGGAACAAACTTTGGGACTTTTGAAATGGACTCTTCCGTTGTATGCATTCTCCTTGTTTTATAGGGGATCTTTCTATGAATTTCAGCACATTTGTTATTTTCTAAGTTTCATATACTTTTATAGCATTAAAAGTGATAGTTGGCAATCTATTCAGATACCTTATTTACATTTTTAGAACTAAAGGAATTTTTTTTTTTCCTACTGTATTTTCCATAGAACCCTTCTTTGGGGGTGTCTCTAACATTTACACATGAATGTCTTTTGAGATACGTGTTCCTTTCATTATTCTCTTTTTAAGGTAATAATAGTAGGTATTTACTGATTGCAAAATACTCATCCGAGAGCCTGAGTAGTAGAGGTTATTGAATTACTATAGCATGGCTGATTTAGATATTGTCCCTGTTTTATGGTGGGGGAAAGGGACAGGCAAGGTATGTCTCTTGTCCAAGGTTCAACTAATAAATCACAGCTGCAATTTGAATCCAGAAGCCTAACTCCTAGGAGTATTGCCACTTGGCTGACAATAAGTCCTAAATCCTTCTCATTTCCCTTTATTGAGATCACATGAGTGAATAAACATTTACTCCAGAATACAGCTTACTGTAAAATGTGGCAGAGGATTTGTAACTTGTCCAGGTAGAGAATTTTCTGTAAAATTTTATTGACAGTGTACTGGGACCCACAGACAGACATAAGCATAATAAGATCCTGCTTCAGGGCCAGTGTCCCTGACGTTCTCTAAATAAGACCCTTGATGTGGATCTGAGCTTCATGCCTCCTCCCTGAGGATTAGCTTTCCTGGTACCAGAAGGAACCGTGCAAGCTTCCAAAGGAGGGAGGTAATCAACAGTCCTACCCAATGATGACACCGATGAACCACATCTACCACCAGCATGGCACCATCACCTAAGAGTGCAGCAGTAGCCAACAGCTTTCTGATGGTACTCAATGAGAAAGGAGTCGTGCCTGGTGCTAGAAGCCTAGCTAACTACTCAGTGCTTAGTGAAGTCTTGGTGACTGGAGGAAAATCTACAACCACTGATTTATTAAGCCAGCACAATCCCTAACAACAATCTATAAACATTTGGCCTTATACCTACAGATAAGTGTTCTCCTTACTCCCCATCAAGGAAATTTCTCTTTGCAACAGACGGAGACCACTAGAAATGCAAAACCAATCAAAATGCAGAGTTGTGGAGCTCAGTCCCCCATGGGATACATCTACAAAACACTCTGCATCTAAGGCTCGGGGAACATTGCGGAAGAGGGGTTGAGAAAATTGTTAAGAGCCAGAGGATCAGGGAGCTCGGTTGCTGTGAGATGGTGTCTCCTAGGAAGGTCAGAAGCTACATCCATAAAGTCTCGCCAACGTGACAGCCCCGATGTGAACTGAACAAGGATGACCCCAGTCAGTGAACATGCCCAAGCGGGCGGGGGAAGAAAGCTCACAAGGCCTCAACCCTACACAAAGAATTATAATTAACCCAGGAAACCTAAAAGTGGGAGAAGTGGTCTTCTCCAGGGAAAAGCACACCAACTGGTTGTCCAGTTCTACATGGTCAGTCCTGAGAACATACATACAGGTCATATTATATGAACTGAGTAGGGTATATATGCGTATACATATACATATATACATGCATTAACAATTAATGAAAGAAGAGGCCATGAATTTTTTTTTTTTTTTTTTTTTTTTTTGTTTTTGTTTTTTTGTTTTTCGAGACAGGGTTTCTCTGAGTAGCTTTGCGCCTTTCCTGGAACTCACTTGGTAGCCCAGGCTGGCCTCGAACTCACAGAGATCCGCCTGCCTCTGCCTCCCGAGTGCTGGGATTAAAGGCGTGCGCCACCACTGCCCGGCTGAATTTTTTTATTCATTAAAAATTTTCATTTATTTTATATCCCGATCACAATTTCCCCTCCCTCCACTCCTCCCGTTCCCTCCCCCTTCCGTTCTGCTACCCTCCCCGCATCCACTCCTCCTCCATCTCTGTTCAGAAAGGGGCAGGCCTCCCGTGGGAGTCAACAAAACATGGCACATCAATATGAGGCAGGAACAAGCTCCTCCCCCTGCGTCAAGGCTGGGCGAGGCAATACAGCATGGGGAACAGGTTCCCAAAAGCCAGTTTAAGTGCCAGGGACAGGTCCTGATTCCACTGCTAGGAGCCCCACAAACAGACCAAGCTACACAAGAGTCACACACATACAGAGGGTCTAGGTCAGTCTCAGGTAGGCTCCTAGCTGTCGGTCTAGAGTCTGTGAGCGCCCATGATCTCAGGTCAGCTGTCTCTGTGGGTTCCCCGGTTATGACCTTGGCCATGCTTGTCTCGTACAATCCCTTCTCCCTCTCTTCAGCAAGATTCCCAAAGTTTGGGCCAGTGCTTGGCTGTGGATCTCTGCATCTGCTTTCATCAGTTACTGGATGAAGGCTCTCTGATGACAATTAGGGTAGTCATCAGTCTGATCACAGGCCAATTCAGGCACCCTCTTTACTATTGCTAGGAGTCTTAGCTGGGGGTCATCCTTATGGGTTCCTGGGAGTTTCACTGGCACCAGGTTTCTCCCTAGTCCCAAATCCCATCCCCCACCCCATCAAGACATCTCTTCCATTACTCTCCCCCTCTGTCCTGCCCCTAACCCACCCAACCCAATCCCTCATGTTCTCACCCTGCCCCACACCCCCGACTCCGTGCTCGCCCCCAGTTTACCCAGGAGATCTCTTCTATTTCCTCTTCCCAGGGAAATCCTTGCATCCCTCTTTGGGTCCTCTTTGTTACCTAGTCTCTCTGGGGCTGTGGATTGTAGGCTGGTTATCCTTTACACCTAATATCCACTTATGAGTACACACCATGTTAGTCTTTTGGGGTCTGGGTTACCTCACTGAGGATGATTTTTTTTCTCTAGTTCCATCCATTTGAGGTCATAAATTTGAAGGAAAGTGGGAAGTAGTATATGGGGAGGATTTGGGGAGAGGAAAGGAAAGGAGAAGCATTGTAATGTTGTAATCTTACCTAACGTAGTTGTTGAAGAGAACACTTTGAATTAACCTTGATCGTCTTCAAATCTAGGAGTGACTTCTCAGTTCTAGTTTCACCTGATTTAATGTAGCGTTACATTCCCCTCTATGTCTGGTGAATATCCTATTTGTCTTAGGTGGGCTCTTTCCTTGTTCTTTTATCCGAGGGACCTTGGCTTTCTCGGCAGTAAGAATTCTCTCTCCAGCCACCAGCCTCTTTATCCTGCTTAGGGCTTTGGACCTGATTGAAGAATGGTAACGGATGAGCACCCTCAGATCTGTGGCTTCCCACTGCGTGGCTCCATTTTTCTCTTCTACATGACCAAAGAGGAATCAGAGGGCAAAACCATCTCCAGTGAGCCAGGGCCCTTCTGTGCGTTTTATCTTCTCTGCCATGTGTCCCAGGATGGTTCTTTTGTTCTTTCTCAGTGCCTGGCACAGTGAATATTGTTGAATGTACAA